TATGCATAATAATACATATGTGTATATATGTTGTATGTATGTTCCAGTCCCCAGGCCGCCAACCCCCCCCCGCCGGCAACCCCCCTTCTCCGCATCATCTGCATCATGGGGATGATGCTGGCAATGCTGGGGATGCTGTCCCCAGCCCTGCAGCTCCGGTTCCAGACTCGCACCCCTTCACCCCCCAGCACCTCTCGCAACATCCTACCACCCTACAACCCCTACCTGAACCCCAACCCCAACCCTAAATCCGAACCCCACACCCACCCTAAACCCGCCGTAAGCCATCCCTAAACCAACCCTAAGCCAACCCATCAACCCTAAACCAACTCCAAACCACACCCCAACATCCGCCCCCCTTTTGGCTTGGAATCTGGGAACTGTAAAAAGAAATATTTCAATTTCATGGGCTTGGTAGCTGTGTACCTTTACCCTTGGCCAATTTGTCTATTTGAGGAAAGATGAGGGCAGCCGGTTTTTATCGCATCGAACACTCAATTATTTGTTTGCTGAATGTAGTTATTAGACTTGAGACCCCTTTACTTGGGCCACGGTTGCAGGGGCAAGCAGTCAACCGCCCGACCGTCCACCAAGTTAGTTTCTGCCCTAGTTCAGCTTCTTGGTTGCTAGAGCCGGATGTCACTTAAAACCTAACAACCGCAAGCCTGTCGAGCCCAAGCTCAGCGCCAAACGCGCGCGCCTACAATCTAACAAACCCCTGTCGGGTGCTGGACCTGCGAGAGCCAAACCAGCTCGCTCGATCTGCGAGTTCCTCCGAGACCCGGACGTTGCCGGGGACTATCACCCACCCACCCAAATGTCGAGGGGACAGCGGGGACTTGACTCAAAGCTTCCAAATGTATTTTTCCTGTGGGCCAAAAGGGAAACTTTTTTGAGGAATTGAAGTAAAGCAAATGGAACCAAACAAAACTTGGCGCTTACACAATATGCCGCTCTTGTCTTTTTTTCCTACATGCACACATGCTCAAAAGGACTACCCTGTGTCGCCATTCTCCCGCAAATGTTGTGTTTTTTTGGGGGGGAGTACTGGGCCCGGGCTTTTTAGGGGGAAGTAAAGGCGTGGGGGTAATTTTGCTGCTTCCAAACCCAAGCTTGAGTTGAACTTGCTCCCTGGACCTGAATTGCACTTGCTGTTGGCAGTGAGTCAATGGCAAGGCTGCAGCAATGTTTGGAGGTGTTGCAGCCAGAAAAACCTTTGGCTCATTTTGGCTTCCCCAAAATGAGTGCCTCTAAAAAAGACCCAAGAAGACAAACTTACATTTAGCCACGGTGCGCTGCAGGACTAGGTTGTTCTGGCAATGACACCAACTGTGCGTGTCGTCACCGGTCCTGCGCGTCCTCGCACATCAGGCCCGATGCAGAAAAGCGTTGTCTCTACGTGTTAGTACTAGCAACAACAACAGCAACGACGACGACGACCACAACAACAGCAACAGCAACAGCAACAGCAACAGCAGCAGCGACAGCAGCAACAGCAGCAGCAGCAACAACAACAACAACAACAGCAGCCACAGCCACAGCAACAGCAACAGCAGCAGCAGTAGCAGAAACAACAGCAGACACTGATGGTTATGATGCTGATGAGTTCCTTGCTGGACTCTCGCGCCAGGGTCTCAGAGAGGGCCGGCAAAAAGCTGCAACACCAAGAGAAATCAACATTGCAGGGAGAAGTGGGCCGTTGTCATGGCTTTTTGATTGGGTTTTTGTTTAAACATTCCCGTTTGTGGTTGAAGACTACTTACTCTCACGGCTTGTGGTTGAAGACTTGGCAACCCCCTAAGAGAGCTTGCGCCGAGCACGTTTAGGGGTAGGGAGCCGACAAACTCCCCAAACACGCTCAAGTTTGGACATTCCCTCTAAAGACGGGCCCCTTTACTTTTTACAGAGCTGGACGACATGACGACCCCCCAGAGTGGGAGGTTCCAGCCGTAATCTTACAAGGAGTCTTTGGGGAGTCGTTATGAGTTGCTTGCGGTTGCAAAACATGCTTCCGCAGGGTGCGGGGTGAGGGTCAGGTCAAGGGATGATAAGTGGGCTGCGGCAATGTTGTTTTGGCCTTTTTCAAGGCAACATCGAACCGGACTCACAGCAGCTGTTTGCTACTCACGCGTTCATGTGCGCCAGCTCAGGGCAAATCGCAGTGATCAGAACTGTAGACCCGTACACACACACACACACACACGCGCGCGCCAGCACCAGCGCCAGAGCCATGCCAGCACCAGTTCTTACACAAAAGCAAGTCACGTTTTGTCGTATGCTGTCACCCCCCCATGGTACAAGCTGCATGGCGCTTAGTTGCGCAGACCAGAAAAACAACAGTGCCTAAGTTGCAAGTCCGATCACTTGTTGCTAGATGGCGTTGGCAGAGTCAGCGGTCGGCTGTTTGGCGCACTGCCAAAGGATCCCTGCTACTTAGCCTTTATGAGCGTCTGATGAGCAGCCTGGTCTGGCTGGGGTGGTGAGCACTCTTCAGGCAGATCGTTTTTCACGTGGCACGTGGCAACAAAATACGACGAAGGCAAGTGGACATGGTAGCATCACAAAGCCCAACCCCCAGCTCTTATTTTACAAATGTTGGATGTTGACCTACACGCTATTGCGCGCACACACGCACACGCTCCCATGCCTTTCTCAGCGCATACAAGGGGAGTGGGGTCTGTTAAACTCAACTGTTCAGAGCCGACCATTGGACCTTTCGGCGTTCACCCTCTTGCCCACTTTCTTCTGCTGAAGGCCCCCGATGTGTGTGGTGTTTGTGTTTTTTGTTCGGTCGCTAAGCTTTCATGCGAATGTGAGCGAAACTTATGTCACGTCCGATTGCTGCCGTCAGCTTGCCTTCCTGGTGCGCCAGCCTGTTTTTGGAGCATGCTTGAAGCTTCAAAGATTAGCTTGGCGATTTGCCCTGACTTCCAAGATGTGCGCTGAAGAGGGGTCGCGCGTGAAAAAGGTTCTCTTCTTTCAGGCTTGGGAATTATTGCGCAATATTGCACACTTCACAGATGAAGGGCACCCTCTGTACGCAGCAGCTTTGCTACCTGTGATTCATTTAGCGATCTGGGGGGTGGCCGGTTATTACTTTGCGTGGGTCACGTGAAGCGCCCGCCGAGGCTGAGCGTGCTCGTGGTGTGAGAGCGGCATAGAGCGGCGTTCCGGAACACGCGTTGGAAGGGAATTTCCTTTGAAGCTGAATTGAATTGCATAGGGATGGCCGACGTTGTGCCGTTATGATGTTTAGAGCTTTCTGGGATGAACATGATTGCATGAGAAACCACATTCCACCCATGACGGTAGATTGACAACTGGGTCCTGGTAGAAACCAGGCAACGCTGGCGTGCTCACTCTTTCGGCTGGGGAGTGCAGTTGTTGAGGGCCTGGTATTGGCTCGTATGTTTTGTCCATGCCGTTGTGGTCATGCTGTCGCTTGCTCAGATATAGCAAATTGCCAAGTTGCATTGACTGGATTGTTCGAAGGTAATCTTTAATCCGTCGTTTGGTGTCCAACGATTTCCCTTCACCAGCCAAGTGTCTGCCCTTCCGACCGAGTTGGAGCAACCCTAAAGAGAAGGAACTCAATAGATTTGGACGTGGGCAAGTCCAAGTGTCAACCATATTTCCCATCTAGGGCCCACCTTCTTGATCAGTACTTTACATGTGCCAAGAACACCATCAGTATGTCCACTGCCTTACCACTTCCCACTTCACCACCCCCATTCTTCCCATGGTTGGGTTCTTTGCCGTTTCGGCTTAATTCTTGCTCTGGGTGAGGTCTGTCCCCAATCCCTGGTGGGGTAGTGTTGGGAACCGTACCAGCGGCCAAGCCAACCGTTTTGGCGGCCCCTTTGCCACTGTTCGGGGAGCACCGCACCTCTCAAAGGTGAACAAGGACTCCCAGGCGGTGGTTTGAGGAATTGAGAGGAACAAGACACAGAATAGGCAGGGCTGAAGGATGTGGCGGCGGAAGGCCGGCTCAAAACGGCCCGCGATGATCTTGTGAAGGAGCCGTCCAACGTGGACAAGCTTGTGGCCTTCTACACGGCGGCGGTTACGGAGCGCCACGAGGCCACCTCCACCAAGAAAGCATCGCGGGCCGGGCAACCCAGCACGAAAAAGCTGCTGGTCATGAAAGTGCCGCCGTCGCCCACGAGACCTGGAAATAGAAACTTACATTTTTCACGTCCCCCTCCCCCTAGGGTCGGTGATGCCCCAACCAACCAGCCCACCCCACCCCCACTGTTGGGAGGGGGGGAGGGGGGGTCGACGGCCTGGAAAAAATATATATACTAAGGCATAGGTGTGCGAGGAGTTCCAGCCAATATTTCCAGCAGAACATGATCTAGGACGGATCTCGGGGACTCCGTAGAGTTCTCTCGCGTATGTTGATCGCTCGCATGTTTCCTGGGCGGCCCTGCAAAGATCAGTCGCGCGCGAGACTACATTTGGCTATGACTTTTCATGGGGAAAATCCTCCCAAATGCTTGGACACAAATCGGGAACCGCCGAATTTTGATGTCCATCGGAGGGTCAATTTACCCTCCCACCAATTAACACGGCAGGGTGACATTCACACCCATTGCCATTTAAGTCTAAGGGCACCTAAACTTGGTTGTCTCAGGGCGCCATTTTGGGGAGCGGCCTATCGAAGATCTCCGGCGTTTTTGTCTGCCCGGAAGAAAGAAAGGAGGTATTTACCCTGAAGAACTAGGTTCTTTCGAGGAACAGTTCAAACAGTAAGGGACCTAATCTCTTGAAAGGGACACCTCCTCACTTTCAGGGACCTGCTGATTTTTGGTTTGCCTTTTGCTTTGTTCCCAAACCAAAAATGGTCAACCCCAAAATTGCGTGCTGTTCGTCGCCAAGCTCACTGGTTGCAACTGTGAAATGCTTCGTTTGGCCCCCAAACATGAAGCTAGACTGAGGAGAGCTTCCCTCTGCTGCTGTCCGACCTGGCGAGCTCGATCAACCAAGGTAAGGTTCTGGACATGCAGCAGGCGACACCCGGCGAGGGTTGGTTGGGGTTGGAGAACTGGACCCGGGTCCCCGTGTGATAAGGGGAGCCCCAGGAAGTCAGACTTGTTTGGAGAATTGGTGCTTTCAGCCTGGTTGAAACTGGGTGCTGGCCCAACCCTTGCGCGAGTCGAGCGACACCCTGGTTGGTCGCTCCACGGAGGTAACCTTTGGTTGATTTATAAATGACTTCTACTGGAACCTTTTTGTTGGCTGTAAAGAAGTCGAAAGGGGAGTCCTCTTTTTGGATTTTTAAGCTCACTTGCCCAAAGCTGACCTTTTGACCTTTTAGTTTCCCATTTTGATCCCCTTTTAACCCACGGCCCCGCGGCTGACAAAGGCTAAGGGGAACCATCCCATGTTGGGGTTCCCTCATTTGATAAATTCGTTTGGCATTTTCCGAAACTGCGACACAAACCTGAATCACTCTGTATGGAAAGGCTTCTATAGGACCCTTGTTTGGGCTCCACGTTCTCTCGGTGAGAAACAAGGATGGCCCTTCCCCCGGTACTCGTATCCTTGACCTTTCGACCAGGTCTTGGAGGGCAGTCTGTGCAAAGAGCACTATTCGCATTCACAGACTCTCCACCGAAACGTCAAGAAGAACCTGACGCACACTTCCTACAGTGGTATCCACGCTAGTCTTCAAGGCGATATATATATATATATATATACATACACATACGTTGATGGTGTGTCCAGCCAAACTCAAAGTGGTTGGCATTCATTTGGCTTCCCTTCAATCACCATCCGAAAGAGAGGCATTCCACTAAAAGCTACCGTCTGCCAAACAAGATCAAGTCCTGTTCCTCGAGTGGGGAACCCCAACACTTGCGTAGTCCATCTAGGTGCAGGGCAAGCCTGACTCCCTATTTTGGCCTGCTCCAAGTTTCTGCGCTTGGGCCGAGTGCGTTTCTTCATGAGAATGTTGCCTCCCATCCCTGGTCCAGTTGGAGGTAGAAGTTCCACTTGCTGCTTTGCAATTAAAATGGAACCCAAAACAGGGGGCTCCCCAAGAAAGAGCTTCCACTAAAACCCTGAGAACTTTGTGGGTATGACAGTTTGAGGATTTGTTCATTGTTCAAGCCCAGAGGTGGAGTGGAGGTTTTTCGGTGGGGGAGGGGGGGCACTGGATAGCCCATGCCCCATGCAGGAGGTGTGCATGAAGGCCTTCGAAGCCAGGCGCTTCGGGAGCTTCCGCTGGGTGGCGCTCTTCGTAAGCAAGCCATCCATGGCTAAAGCTGGAAGGATTGCAATTTCCTTGATGGACAGGGTGTAGACCTGCGGGGGGGGGTTATGGAGAGGTGCGAGGAAGGCTGTCAAGAGTGAAAGCCTTACTCAGGTTACCCGCGCAGAAAGCGGTGGTTTCCAGCAACCCCCCAACAGCTTTGAGAACCATGTCCGGCAAATCCCCCTAGTACCGTCCAACAAGCAGTGGTTGGGACCCGGGTGCTGGTTGGATTGGAGGGGTCATTGTCAAAGCTGGCTTACTTTGTATGGTCGGCCAACTATGAAGCATCATTCTGACAATAACAGATGCAGATGTGGGCCAAGCTTGCACAGAGCATTTTGTTGCAGCCCTGTGAAGTAAAGATGCGATTCGGCCAGAGAAGGTGCCCAGCTGTTAGGGACATCTTTTTGGGGCGTTGCACAAATGCAAACAGAAGTCGAATCCCGTGTATAACATTCCTTTCTGTGATGATCCCTCACTGATGGTCCTCACTTCCAAACTTCCGGACGTTAAGCTTTGATCCTCTTGTTGCAAGTCCAAAGTCGTTTGGAAGTTCGGAAGCTTTGGGACGACATTGCCTGATCACAGTGGTCTTTGCAGGACTCACCACTGCATCTTTTGTTTCCCGTGAGGTTGGCTTTCGTGGTGGAAAAAGGGTATAAGACATGTTGTTAAATGAGTACGCGTGTTTTTTGCTTCTGAGTTCCAGGAGTTTATACATGCTTTAGGCAGACCGTTTTAGTCCCAAACCAGCATGCAACACAGACACAGTCTGGTGTTGAGTCCAGTCACCCAGGAAGTGTGTTGCTCGTGTGAAATGATTATTTGACATGAGCATGAGCTACTTTTAGGCTATTTTTAGTTTGTTACTTTATTTTTTGTGGCGCTTTGTACGAAATGAATATCCGGGGTTAGACGAGCGGTATCAGTACTCCTAAGTTCCTGACCACTCAGCTAACTCCAAAAGCATCTATAAATCTATAAGCTCATGCAGGGAGCCAGCGCGACGGTTGAAACACGTGAATCGTGGGCTTAGGAGACAAGTGACCATAACACTTACACATCTGTGTGTCTCTTTGGGGGACCCCCTCACCCCCCCCCCCCCCCTTTGGCTGGTTTTAAACGGATGCTAAAGGAAATCGTTGCCAATCTGGGGTTCCTTGTATTTTTCGAGACACATTCAAATGGGCAAGCCGCCCCAATCTGTATTTGAAGCTTGCGGGCTGAGGTTTGCAGTCGCCAGCACGTGGCTAGTCAGAGGACCCGTTAAGGGGATTCTAACAAACGGGTTCCTATGGTTTGCGCAGGACGCTCGCTTGTAGCACCTGAAGAACCCGTGTGTGAGAACCCATTCAACTAATTGGTCAGTGCTTCCATGTAATACTATAGTCACTATAGGTAGGGTTTCTTCCTAGGTTTTGCCCATGGATAGTTTCCTGTGGTCGGCAATCCTTTGTTCGGCGAAACGCTTCGAACTGTGCCGGTGATCCGTTTTAGGAACCCTCAAAACTCTCTAGTCGCTAGGCTGAACCGCAACGCGACGATGCGCCAAGCGCAGTATCGGTTCCTGGCTGAGCTGGGCAAGGCACGCGGGCACGCGGGCACGCGGGCACGCGCGCCTTGTGGCTTTGTCTCAGGTCAAGAGGTGTCCAGACAAACGGTCAACATATTCTTTGTGATTTTGGAGTGAGACCGGGAGCAAGAGAGTGTCAATCTGAAACCCAGGGGACATGTCAAAAGCAAGAAAATAGAGATTTGCACAAAAAACAATTTCATGGCAAGAGGAAATCGTAGTTTGCCGTTGGGATTTGCAGATTCATTGGTTTCCAGGCTGTTCCAGGGCAAAAACAGCAATAACACCGTGATTTGCCCTTGGGATCTGCAGATCTCTTGGTTTCGAGGGTTGCTCACAATTTGCTTGCTTTTTGTTTCACAGTTGTTGCGTGTGTTTATGCCCCGCAATGTTGCTTGTTTTTTCATTTGCAGATGTATTTCTGGTCTCTGGTTTGCTTATTTGTTGCTTTTTCAGCACCCATCTTTTTCCCTAACATCGGGAAGTTGTTTGCTTGTTTTTAATCTCCCCCATTTTCCTGGTCACAATTATCTCTGTTCCTTGCTTTTTACCTCACCAAAGACATAATTTGTAACTTTCCAATGGCTAGAATCGCAAGTCTTAAGTTAGGGACGAAGATGAGCGGTTTCACAGTTGAACAACTTTTAAAATAACCCTTGTGTGTGTGTGTGTTGACACGTGTAAGCTCACCTCGTTATCCACAGTGAAATGGGTCTTCCTGCCTGTCATTTCTTGCATTCGTCCCTCGCATTCCCGTTTTTCCTTTGGGACTTTTTGGTTGCGTTTGCGCAGACTCTGAACCCACTCATCCACTTCAAATTGACATGGAAGCGTAAAAGGGTGGAGTCCTGGTGATTTGGTTTGCCTCCCCGTGTGTTGGAGGTCCTTCCACACTCTCCGGCAACGACGGCCGGTAGAGGGCGGAGGGACAGGCTCACGGACGGATGGATGGTGTGGTATGGCGTGGTATGGATTCTCCCAAAAAGTTTAAGTCCAGAAACTCAGGGTGTGAGTATATGGCCGTAGAGGTGATTTTTGGTCTCCCTTTGAAAGGCAGCAACTGGCGGCAGGGTCCAAAACCAGGCCATCCCTTTGACTCCCCCCGATCCTCAAAAGGAGATTAAAATGGCCAAGGTGTCATTTTCCAGTGGCACATCGGGCACTATGAAGAAGCAAGTGCCTGTGCTACTGATAACTTTATGAGCAGTCTGCAAGGGAGTAACCCGCAATGGGTTGTGAGTGCCTCCATGACTCAGCTGTAGGAAAGTCGCCATTTCTCTCTCACTCTCTCTCTCTCTCTCTCTGGGAAGAGTGATTACATAGAAATGCGCATACGGAATGGTTTCAGGCCCCCGAACAAGGAGGAAAGAAGAATGGCGGTCCTCTAAATTTAGGTGACACACCCATATTTCTTGTTTACTCCATAGTACGGGTAGGGTTGGTATTCCCCCCAAGTTCCAAGGGAGTCTTTGCTTCGGGCACTATTGTTGTTTTCTCGCGAGGCCTACGAGCAGCAAGCCATCAAGATGCATCGCGGCCGTGTTGACGAAATTGACCGCGGATACAGGTGGTGAAGTTCCTGACGGTTTTCCTTGTAACCCCACACAAAAAAGGCGCCCTCAAGAGAATGGCACCCAAAGCAACCTGCTTCTACCTTAAGTTAAATCAAATGTGGGTTCATCAACTTGGTTGAGGGTGGGAAAGGGTGGTTGCCCACTTCTCTTCCCCCGTGGAGTAGTTCTTGGGAATCCTCTTGCTCCTAATTCAGCAGGTTGACTCTGGGGTTGACTCCGGTTTTCGTTGTTTTTTGTCGGAGTACCCTTGGGGTTGATTACAGCCAGAGCAAACTCTGGGGAACCTCAAGGATGTAACTTCATGAATGCTAACCACGGATGAATCAACCCCAGTTTATTAACAGGTGTCCCTGGGTGTAGTGGGGAAGCATCAGTTTTGCGGGCACACCCCCCTATTAAATTGGACGAGTTGTTTAACCCGGGTCAGCATTACCCATGACGGATCTGGGCGAATGACGAACCGACGTCACGTGAAGGGGCGGTGCGACCTCACTCACAGTGAGTGAGATTTCTTGTATAACTTGCCCTGGAGGCTCAAAGTTGTTTTGCGGCCCTGTGCATGCAATGTTGGCTGATGGAATGCTACAGTGACATGGGAAACATGTCTAGAGAGTTATCCGCGGACAGTGCGTGCCTCGCCAAAGCGCTTGCTGGGCTTTTCTTGTAGCTTTCCTTGCCTTGCCCTCCCACCAGCAGTGCATCAGTTGAGTCGGCCTTGTGACAGGATAGACTTTCAAAGAGGATTTGAGGAGTTCCATTGGTGTGCGGCTCATGGTGATCAACTGGATCCAGGCGACAGCTTTCTTCACTAGTTCATACACTTGTAAGTGTTTGGGAAGATCATGTTAGCGATGTCAGCCGAACTGGATGGACTTGTCTGACCAATCCACGTGGGAGTTAATTCCTGCCTTTTACCCGCCACCTGCAGCCACAAAAGCTGCCACAACAACACAAACATGGAACAGAGGCCAGTGGGTTAGATGTGAGCTACCCATTTCAAGTATTTCAGGACTGCTGCGTGATCTTAACAGACTCGGGGATTCACCGCAAATCCAAGGCATGAGATGCGGCAAAGCTACTATAGGCTGGGCACGGTTAGGCAGTCCTTCACCTGACAGACTGCCCAAAGGAGCAAACCGTTGGCTCACCGAACAACCTCATGAAGGTCCTTTAGGAGGGGTTCCCTCATTTTCCGGCTTGGGACCTACACTCATTTGGGTAGGGAGATCTTCAAAATGTGTTTTTTCCTGTTATTTTCTCTGCAATCAACCCAAAAAGGGTACAATCCAAAACAGGCCACCCATTTGGCCACAATCAGGGGAATGCAATTGCTGACTTGCCAAGAAGTTTTCTTTGAAGGGGTTCCCTTTGTGACCGACTTCCTTTGAGGCTTCCTTTGGAGGGGACCCGGCGCTGATTGTTGCAGCACCTCTTGCCCAATGCCGCAAGCAGCTGTCACAACCCTGGATTCCACTCAAATTCTGCGACTCTTAAGTGCTGGACTGTTGGTTTGGAGACGGCATGGAGGAGACCATCCCAAATCCCCGCGAAACAAAGGAGAGAACCACGCTTTCCTATGTACTCCTGGCAAAGAAGTGATACTGTCCGTGGCTTATGCGATGTGTTCAGGTCACGGCACCTCGTGCACTGGAACTTTCAAATGCCCCACTGCCCCACTTTGTAGAATCTCCCAAGTGACTCATAAGACCTTGTCCGGCCACTAATGCTCACCCACAATGAATATCATCCCACTTATTATGAAGGGGTGTCCCCTTTCTGCCAGGGGGGCCGCCTGATTGATAAGTGGGGGGTGTATTAATCAGGGGTCAATACTAGGCATAGTAGCCTCGGTTTGGATTGGCGGGGCCCCGACCATAGCAAAGTCGGGAGGCCTCATTGCCCTCTAAAAGGAGCTCTGGGTAAACTGAGGGAAGCCACCCTCACAAGGCTTGGGGCGTGCCTTTAGTGCCTTCAGGGAGATCGACCACCTCCGGGACCAGCTGGGGATCAAAGCGAGGAATCCCAGCTTCGACATGAAGGCGCGGCCATGCACCGGACCAAGAAACGGCCATGCACCTCCAAGGCGATGCGAAGTGATCGGGGAGATAGCGAAATGGGTGTGTCATGGTGTGTCTGCTGTTGAGGGTACCACCTTTTGGTTGGTTAGGAAACCAAAAGGACACCTGCCATTACTTGGGTCCCCCGAAAAAATGACCCGCCCAAATGCTGGTTGATTTTGATTGAGGGGGTGGCCCCTTTGAGTGGAGAGTGGGGGGGCAGACCACTTTTGGAGGGGACCACCCCTTTGTCAATAGGACAGGTTTATTAATATGGGGTCAACCTTTATTATATGGCAACCAGAACCGTCAAAAGTGGGGATGGGCGGGCTATGCCCTGTTCAACCCTTATTAGGCGTTTATCCTGGGCCTAGCATAGGCAAATGGGGAGCCTGCCGTCAAAAAAAGACACACCCATACACAGATAGGGAAGTCCTTGGCCTATCCCTCTCCGCCTGTTTGTTCTTGTTGTTTAGAGGCCCCTCCCGCTATTTCCCCGTCTCAGTTGCCCAGTGGCCGCCCGTTTTCCTTTTCTTTTTTGGATTTTTCCGTTGGTATCAGGTGCCGTTCTACCGCATAAGATCCTAACGTCTGGGTTCCGTAAAGGATGCATCCCGAACACAACCTGATTTACAAGGAGATCCTCTAGACCTTATACGGCAAAGTGTTCTGATTTCATGTGTTTTATGTGTTTGCGGACCAAATGTACCCATTACATAAGCTTATCAAGGCTATGTGAATTGGTGGGTTCAGGGCCCACTCATACGGGTGGCTCCGAACGGGTTCCGCTTGTGTTCTACTGTCACTGCTTGCATGCCAAAACGAAAGCAAGCCTGACCCCAAATTAAGGGTCCCAACTTAAGACTCAATTTGGTGAAAGCTCACGTCCCTCGACGAGATGCAAACCTCGGACCTCACTTGCCCCAAAGAAAACGAGTGTTGGTTTGACTGTTTGCCCAGATCTGGGCTACACAGAAAGTGCATTCAGATTTTGGTTCATACGTAGTCTACCCGAAACCTTAATCAATTACCCACTAATTCTGACTGAAATATAGGAATCCAATCAGCAAAGGCGTCCCAAATGGCCATGGGTTCATATATGGGGTGCGTACAATCAGCCTTTGACTTAAAAAAGCGGAAGAGACCTGAGAGTGTGACCCAAAACAGCAATTCCACTCAGGAAGTTAGTTGAACCCTGTGGTGGACATCAGGATGGGGATCTATGTCCACCAACCAGTTTCGGGGCCGTTCCCAACCAAGAGAATTACAGGATTCTAGCTTGTTTTCCCCTTGAAGGGTGATTTGAACCATCACCTCTTGGTTGCCAATTCAAAGTGAATTTCCTTTTGGGATGTTTAAACCATTAAAAACAAAAAAGGAAACTGTGTGTATCAAAAAGGAATAGGAAAGCCCAAAAATGGATTTCGGTTGTCCTTGTGGCTGCCCTTTAAAGCCACCAAGGGTGCGCCCTCAAAAAGCCAAAATGGGCGCACCGAAATTCGAGCTCTTTGGGCAGGAGGTGCAGTTCTTCGATGCCAAGGCGTACAGGTCGCACCTGCGACATTCGAAGTTCCCCAACAAATGTGGCGGTTGCCTGGGGTGCCCAAAAGGTTTCCTTCTTTGTTGCTTTTTGTTCTTCTCCGTTTTTGCCTGTTTTTTCCCATGTTTTTTCCGCGGGGGGGGGACCATGACGAAAACAAATCAGGGGGCTCTGAAGAAGTTCCAAGACCGAAGGAAACACATGTGTGTAGCAGGATCCATTTGTTTGAACCCATTTGGGGTCACCCAAACAACCAGGGCGGCCCTTGTTCCCACTACGTAGAGGTTTGCGCCCAAATGGCAGGGGTGGGTTCTCAAAGCTCACTTGGATCTTGGTCCGATGCTGAGCTGAGTGACGCTCAGTTTTCTCCATAGTAGACGGATGGCAAGAGCACCAGGTTTGATGAAAATGCCCCTTGGTTGCCCAACGAAAGCTTTGGGGGTCTCTGCCCGCATCAGCTCTAGCTGTGGGGTGGTTCGGAGCAGCTTTTCAGGGGTTCTGGAGGTTGCTGTCAGGGATACCCCGGCGTGGTGGTTTGGGCGAGTCAAGATTTACGATCCAGTTTTGGACTGGAACTGGCCACTTTCCTGCAAACTGCACGGAACCCCCCAAAAGTGCCCCAGCTTTCTTTTGGCATGTGCTTTTTTGTTCGGGTTCTATGACTTCTGTAGGAGTACAAACTCCACGACGGTTTTGTGGAGCTCAGCCAAGGTTGTGCGTCTCAGAGAGAAGCCCCGAATATGGCACGAATTCCTTTTTTTTCAGATTCCCTGCTAATTCGGGGTTTCCATTGGTGGTTGGCTTCTTGTTTGAAGGCTTACAACAGGCTTGTTGTAGCCCAACTCATCAGAGGGCAAACCCCTTGGATCGCCTCAAGCGCACTTTGATTCTTGGGAGTTGACAAATGTCCCAACCTGACATGATTCCCCCAACTAGGAGTTGTTGGGAAGTTTCGTTTCCCTTTTTTCACACTCTGAGTTCCGCTAGTTTTTGGACGGGGACCAATGCACGCAGAAAGTGAGTTGTGTGGAGTCTTTTGAAAGAACTCACACCCCGTTCAAGGTGCTATGAGGCATGCAGGTGTTCTTCTTTCAACAAGGAGTGTGACACATAGATTATTCATGGTTGTCTGAGGGGTTTCGTGACACATCAGCAAGTAGCAAGTGTTTGGACATGTTTGGCCAATCCATTCAGGGTGTCTAATCAGGTTGGCCAAGATAGTAAGCTGTTGGCAACTCACGTTACAACACGGACTAGTGTGCCAACTTTCCTCAAAATCCAACCTCCGGCCACGCGTAGGCCGCTCAGCTGGAAAGAGCTTGCAGATTTGCTGCTGGTGCAGCGTGCCTTTGCTTCATGTGAGCAGCGCCCAACAAGCATTTGGAAATCATTGCGACAATGTTAGCGGAACGACAGATGTGAGTGCATGGACTCAGCAGATGTGAGTGCATGGACTCAGCAGAACACGTTATTAATTTGGCGCGGGAGCTTGGCTACTTATATAGTAGCTCTAAGAGTCCTTTGGTACGCGAGGAAGTACTTCAACCCCTTGTATCCCCCAAACAATTCTTCAAAGGGTACTTGGACCCTTTGGTAAGGTATCGCGAACACGATACGGGGGCAAGAAATGGGATATCGTTGGAGTTTGTTTTGTTATGCATGTTTCGAGGTTCACTCAATCTGGGCCAGCATCAAACTCTGATTCGTGATCCAGGGGCAGAAGGTGAGGTAATTTTATTCTTGCGGGGCCGGGCAAAAAGGGCGCAGGGTAGCTCAACGAATCGGAACTAATCAAAGGGCGCCGAGCCCTTTTTCATGCCCTTTCAAGATGCTCGTGAACTGTAAGAGCGCCGAAGCAAGAAGGCCCAACCTCTAAGGCAATAAGGCAAGGCTTCTGTTGACCTATGGGTTTGAAGCTCACTCATACAATGAGTGCGCTTCTTGCACTAACATCGTGGTTTTGGGATATGAGGGAGCTCGGGAAATTCCTACAAGAACCACGGTGGGGATGTTTCATGTTTTAGGAAGACTTGTTATCCTTCCTGAAGCCAGGGAAGGTTCTCAAAATAGAGGGCCAGTTTTTGGGTCGGAGTTTCATAAACAAACACCCATCGGGGTGTGTCTTTTTTATGGGGACCCCTAAAATGTGGGTTTGCCTTTTGGTTTCCTTTGTAAAATCAAGAAACAATGGTACCAACTCCAAAAACAGACAGACCCATACCCTGTCCCCAAAAAGTCGATCCCAAGGATTTGTCGGATCCCTTAGGCATCGAAGCCAACGGGGGCGAGCGGACCGTGGAGCTGGTGCCGGTGAGGGCTTCTTGAATCAAATCCCAGTGGATCCCCAGCAAGCCAACCTTTTTCCAGGGTCCTCATATTTTTGGTGTCTTAGAACTCCCCCCCCAAGTGCTCGTTGTTTGTATTTGGTGCTGTATTTGTGTGAGCGTGTTGGTGTGATTGTGTGTTTGGAGTGTTTGGGTGCAGCGTGTGTGCGTGCGTGCGCGTGTTTTTGAGTACCCTTTTTCTGGGTGTTTTCATGGGACATCAAACCCAAAGGAAAACCAACATGCTTAAGATCTCCCCTCGATAGAACCATGGCAGTTCCCGAAAATGAAGGGCCTACGCATCTCAAAGACCATTCAACTTCTCCATGTCCGATTTCAGTTCTCCGCGAATCAACAGATGTGGGCGACAGGACAACGACCGGTTTCCCAGGGCAGATTTTTATGGAACCCCAAAACAGGGTTCCGCAACAGGAGATTCAATTGAAATTATTGTGCTTGTTGGGTTTCATACTTTTCTCTTCTTTTTTCTTCGGGAACCCCCCCAAATGCTGGTGTTCCAATTGGTTTCCCTAAACCAACCAAAACAGAGGTACCATCACCCAAAAAAAGACGAGCCTCCCACGCCAACTTGCGTTGCTGGCCTTGTTTGACTGCGGCGGGGTCTATTCGCCTTTTAAACCTCAAAGCCTGGAACCGAACCGCGAGCCGAGGTCCTGTGCCGTGATTGCCGGAACAAGTTTGCCTCAGAAGTGCCAGATTTGCCGCAGGCGGGGGGTGGGGGGAGTTGATCAAATTGTAACAAGAAGATAAAACGAGCTGAGCTCGCTAGATATCCGGTTGGGGTTTTATGTTAATATATTGCACCTGGAGACTTAAGCCCAGTTCCGATCCCTGAATTCAAGTCTACCTTAGGAGGCTTAGGAGAAATCAATAGAATCGGAGGGCATGGGCCCGAAACGCAGAGAAGGTTCCCCTTGCGGCAGAAGGTCACCACCCCCCAAAGCCAGCTTTTGGAAAAAGCGGTTACCCCCTCAAGCCGTTGAGACACCACTGCGACTTGACTCCCATGCCCCGGGCCCCTTGCAGCCGCAGGATGCCGAGTCCCAGGTGACGCCGGACATGATCCTAACGGAACTTCCGCCCGAGGACCCGATAGTGTTCCCCCGTATATAGACAGGCTCCCAGGCTGAGACGAAAGTTTCGGCCGCTGGCTTTATTTGGGCATAGTTTCGTTCACCAACGGCTGCATTTCTGCAGCGAGCCTGGCCCAAAAATGCCATGTCGCAATGCCGAGCGTTTGCTTGTCACTGCAGGTGGTTTGGCGCAACAAAGACACAGGGGTATTTTCAGTTGCTGACTCGTCGTGTTGCTGTCATCCCGATGTGTAGCCTGGAGTCAAGATTCCAGGATGTAGAATTGGGAGCAACTGCGGCTGCTTATGCTGGCTGCAAGCTTGCTGCGCTCACGCCATCCATGCGCGGGTACATGCTCGAAACAGTAGCAAGGGGGTTCTTGCAGCAGCTTGAGCCGAACTCGATCATCTTAAATTCTATTCCAGGGGAGAGATGTGACGGCTCCAGGCGCGGACTGAAACAGGCAGAGTACGACTGGCTTCACGACGGAAGGAGAGTCCAATGCAAATCATCTCAGTTGTGCTGGAATGTTCGCCTCCGCAGATGGCAGGCATGCTTTCGACACATTAAGCCTGGCTTGTGTGACGAGCTGGTGTTGGTGCTCTACGTTCCTGGTCGGCTTCATTTCTTGCGGCAGGAATTTCAGAGTGGTTCATCTTCTGTAGGTCCATCAAAGACCCTTAGTGCCCCGGCAGGTTTGGAAGATATCAGTGATGCAACGTCTCATGTCAAGTTGAAAATCCTGGAGGATTTGACGTGCAGGTTTCTCGGCATGTTAGACATTTGCGACCAGCTGGTTGGGCAAGCACTTGATGTGCACACTCAGCGCCTTAAAGTTGAACTTGAAATTGAAGCATTTCGCAATCACCCACTTGGAGAGGTCTGGCACAACTCACCCCCCACGCGTGGCATCATGATCCAACGCATGGTGCAGGAAGTTGACTCCTTGCTGCATCCTGGCGCTACCCAGGTCGAAGGAACAGCGTACAAGTCGCCGTTTGACTGGTGCCGCAGCGGGCTGCGTGTGGAGTGCAAACATGGTAGAATTGCGTGGGGGCGGAACCAGTGGTTGTGCAACTTCGCGTGGGTCAAACAAACCAGCTTCGACTTGCTTTATTTGGCAATAGACACTCCATCTGGACTGCAGATTCTGCAGTTTGGTGGAACAAAGTTCGTGAGGTCAACAGGTACACGTGAGGAAGCAGCCGGCAAGCAAATAAGAATTTCAGGCCCTCTTGGAGTGAGGTGCTGGTCGGAGTCTGTGAATGCCATGACAAAGAAACTTGTGGCAGCCGGCAGCACTCACGTGGCAACTGTAGAGTGGTAAGCTTGCGGAAACTCGACTCTCTCCAGAAGACCCTTCGCGCATACGGTTTATCAATCGAAATAATCAAAGCAAAGCTGGCCGCTGGCTGCTTAGATTTTCTGGATGGCCACATTCGACTGTTGGCCAAGTTTGGGGATCGACGTGGCGGACAGCTCCAGGAAGGCTAATCAAGCGCTGGGGTTCAAGGCATGGAAGCTGACAGAAGGAAGGTCCCTTCAGGGAAGAAGCCCGTCTTCCAAGAGCGCCCCTCGGTTTCCATTGCGGATTGGAGCACTGAAAGGGCTTTCGGGTGCAAGCTAGTGACACCGGACTGGCGAAGGGCAAATTGAGGGCCACGCGCTTCTCAAAGCAGCATCAAGGCAAGCTTTTCGTGACAGGCAGGTCCTGATGTAAACCAAAGCAGGTTATTCGCCGCGTCAATTTCAGTGTTCCTTGGATCAAAGACGCATTGTTCTTGGATTCTGCTCAGTACCGAATGTGTTCCATGCAGTCGCATTTTGTGCGTAGTGCCAACTTACCCCGTAGATCCCTCCTAACCTGTTTTGTTGTGGTTGGGCACCTGCCCTTAATGAGGCGCTGCTTTCATGGAGTAGCCCTAGATCGGAAAACTCGAGACTCAAGCCAATCTGGCACCCCGCAAAGCCAATTGAGTGAACAGTTCTAGGACGCGCGTTGGTTTCCCTCCATTGACTGGATAAAGGGGGTCGACCTCTATAGATGATGTTTTGGGGGTAAACCGACCCCTTGTATTGTCTCCAAAAGACGCAAATGTCAGTTTTGCAATCCTTCCACGTCACCAGCCCTTGAGTTTTCTATCGGGTATTTTTGCATAGTCGAATCGCACTTTCGGAAATATCCCAATATATAGGTTGTTTCCAAATGATGGTTTTCTTTTTAGGTTTCCCTTTAAACCAACCAAACAAATGGGATGCCCAACTCTGCTGGGCAAGTTGTGCACCAGACGAACTTGCGGTGCCTTAGAACTTTCTCCCCTAGTGCCGGCTTACTGGCCAACCCAAACGTTCTGAGGGCCGGCGTTTTTCTCTTGACGCCTTGACGAGTCGGTCACCAGGGGCCCCCATGAAAAAGCGAGTCGGTTGCCGCCCTTGACCATTTGGGTGGCTGGTTTAAAAGGAAACCAAAAGGAAAATGTCCCCCCAATTTTGGGGGGCACGGGGGTCCTCCGAATTATTTTGAGACAAACCCGGCTTTCCTCGGGGGAAGCCTTCCCTTTGCAAGGTTTTTTGTATTTGCGGCCCCGGCGACAGACTGCCAGGAGAATGTGGAGTACACTGCCCAGGGCGTAAGCCGTTGGGCGCAAACCGAGATCTCCGTGCAGGCGAGACCGCACAAAACGAAGGGGTTGAGGGACTGCGTATGGCTAGATGCCAAATGCAATTGATGGAGACTCAGGATAAATGAACCCCTGGTTGACGAATACTGTCCCGTTTCGAGGAATTCCTACACTAGTCAAAACACCCCTCAGTACAGCAATCCACCAGGCTGATTCAAACATGTTGCACGTTTTGCCTTCAGACCGGGTGTTCCCTTTATGGTGCTATATGGCTGTGGGTCAAAACCAATGGTACCATTTTGGGGTAGGTGTACCACCCATTTTAGTCTATTGTAGTGGGGATTGGGATGTTCACTGGGGGTACGGGATTTTGACCCATGGCCACATCTGCAAATTGAAATGACCCTGCAGCAGCAAGCTTATCGAAACCTCGAGTGCCCTGATGTGTTCTTTGAGCCGTTTTCCATTAACATCAGCCAAACAAAGGGCAAGCTGCATGGGTCCATGGAAATCCACTGGTCTGGGATATGGTTTTGTCGTTTTCTAGGACTCGGACCCCCAACATGAGCTTTGGTTTTCCTTTTGTTCTTCTTTTTGAAGCAGCCCGAAAAGGGGTACCAACTCCGAAAAAGGCGAGCCACCCATAGTGACAGTATGCGACTCCAAGCTGAAGTGGCCGATGGGAGCAGATTGATGTCAATGCCGACCTTTCGGCCCGAAGGCAACGCTGGCGAGGGGTGACTGCCCGACACACCAACACGCCGGGTTTTCCCTTGCTTTCCTTTCACAACCAGCCAGAAAGCCAGCCAACCAAGCAACCAAGCAACCGACCAACCAACCAAGCGAGGTGTCACACACAAAATGGGTGACCGTGGTCTTTGCTCAGACAGCAGCTTTTGTGTTTCTTTCCGACCAGAGGGTCCCAGTGCCTCCCAAAAGTGTACTTCCAGACATTTCGACCGTCTAAGTAGATCAGTCGATATCTTTGGAGTTAGCGACGGACCCTTACACCAGATCGAGTTTGCTTCCCCTCAACAGATGCAGTGATTCCCGTCGACTCATTTCAGCTGACATTATTTTCCTCGTGACCAACTTGATCGGGTTGGCAGCCTAGGGGGAAAACTCAACATGGGTTTCGGTCGGGCCCCAGAATTCGATTTATCCTCCAGGGCCTCAGCATAAGAGCGCTCCCACGGAGGCAACTGCCACCAAGGAGAATCCACAGCCACAAAAGCATTTGTCTTAGAATAGACCAGCCCAGCGTTTCCCTTTTCAGCTTCAGCAAGGGTGCCAACTCCGAAAACGACGCTTCCAAAAAGAACGCGGCCGTTGCTCCGCGCTGGGCCTCGACCTTTGCGCGCTGGCCACGCGACTCCCGCGGCCGGTGCTCCGAAATGGCCCCGAAAGCTGCGGCGCTGGCCGCTCTTGCAGTGGTGAGTGCAGAGCCACCAGAGGCACAGGGAGCCGGCGGGACGGCGCTTTCCGCTTGCCACTTTGATTTCCAACTTGCTTAAGTACGTTGCAACCACGCTTAGAAGTGGGACAACGCGGGTTGGTTGAGTTGTATCCATGCTTACAACCTGCGACCTTACTAAGTTGGGCTTGGAAAGATGACCAAACCACCGTTGGGTAGAAATGTCGGTGTTTCTTCAAATAGAGGACTCTACAAATGGGTTGGTTCCTTTCGGTTTCCCTGCAAAACCATCAAACCAACTCTGCCATTGGAGAAACTCTGATTTGCAACAAGCTCATGAAGGTCTCCTTGTAGTTTGGTGGGTGAGTCATGATGAATTACCCAGATGTGCAGTTTGCAGCTTGGACCTCCGCAACTTGCGCGTCATTCTAGGATGACACTCAACCCCCTATTGTTTGCTAGAAGGCGCTGATATCCATCCCTCGGGTCTCCTCAATGCTACGGCATATATTCACTCACTTCCCGAGTTCCTGGACTTTGACCGTTTAGTGGCGACAACCAGTTTGGTTTTGTTTGGCCAATCCACTCAGGAAGTGAGTTTTTGGGCTAGACTTAAAATATAGGAAATATAATCTGAAAGTATTTTTTGTTGAGTGCCCCAGATGAGGGCCAAGCAATGTACGAAGTGGGGGTGCATCCCAATAAAGGCTCAGCTGTCCACATATGCCTTTTCACTCTGCAGGCATCCTGTCTTACAGACATTGGCGGAATCGTATGATCGCCTGGGAAGCAGATTTTACCAGCATTCAATTGTGCAAAAATCAGGGTTCGCTACAAGTGGATACAAGTCTTGTTTCCTTTAAAGGTGACGCAAAAGGAGCCCCCTATTCTTGGAAGTACCCGGATAGATGTTCAAGAAAACTCGCCTGACGGGGACTACTGTAAGTGGATGCAAGTTGTTTATTGCATGATGGCAGATTTATTTGTGAAATTATTTGGGTCGCCACTTTCTGTAATTTCAAGGAGATCCCCTTTAAAGTGAAGTAGACATAGAGAGGGCCCACTTGGGTATCGGTTTGTTGGCCTTTGATTTGGCTTGGTTTCTTCTCACACTACTCGTTTGTGGCCGTAGGTATGCTGCTTCAAGAAGTCTGACGTGCGGCAGCTGAACATATCAGGTGTCGATACACTGGTCATTGACAACTTCTTTTGCAAGCCATTTCTCGACTCTCGGCTTGCTCATCTTCCATTTTCCAAAGAATATGTCTTATTCTCCCCAGTTGGTTTTGAAGGGAATTTATCACTACTGCAAATGCGTTTCGTGTTTATGTTCCAGGGGACTGACGCAAATGGAATGTATTTGTCTACGTGTCGCGGACCATTGGACTTGTGGCCGGGAGGGTGATTCGTCAACCAGGACATCGTCTGATGCCCTCGGTCTGGGGGTCCATGAGCACGACCCTCATGTTTATCTACCAGGCGTGCGATATAGATCATAATTGTGATTTGACTCAAAGGGAAACCAACTTCTTTTTTCTTTTTTAACAGGACCCCCCACCCCTTTTAGCACCCAGTGTCCAAGCATGTTTGCAATGCAGCAACTCGTACCAAGTGTTGCCACGCTTGCGAGCTTCTTCCCAGGCCTCTAGGGTCAAGGCGCTTACACATTCCTGGAACCTCAGCGGCTCTTAAGGTTCTGAGAACCATTTTGTTTGCTCGGGGCTCCCTTCATGATTTGCTTCTGTCTTGGCAGTTCCGAGGGGAAGCCGCCTGATTCCCCTAGGATTCTTTGCTTTAGGGTGGGGGATTTGAGGTTAAAGGCCATGCGGTTGAAGAGAGGACCACAGAAAATGTTGAACTTCTGTTGGTTTCCCAATTCAAAACCATAGAATTGGTGACCAAAGAAATGGCGTTTAATTGTCAGTCCTTGGTTTCCCCTTGATATCACCCTTTACGGGTCGCCTGTTTTATGAGAGACACATTTCAATCGTGCAGACAACTCGGCCTTTTGGCCATCGTGGGGGCGAATAAGCATGCGACTTCCAACTAATTGAACTTAGCTGGCTGGGTGAGAGGAACGAGCAACCCGAGCAAGGGATGTACCCGCTTACCAACCAGCAATTGAGCAACATGGAGTTTTCCAACGACTAGCCAGTTGGGGCCCCCTTTCCCACCAGAATGTTTTTAGAACCCCTTCTAAGCACCCCTGCTGAGAAGATTCCAAGTCCCTTCATGTTAAAGGGGCCCCGACTCAGCTAGTCAAAATAAGGGAGTTTGAGCTGGTGGTTTCATTTTCGCTTCCCCTACCACCCTGATAAGGGTAGCCTCACAGAACACATCCACATACACTGTTAAATTAGCGTGGCTCTCCTGCCTCTACTGCTTCCACTATATACCCCCAAACCAAAGTGAGACCCAGGAGGGATTTTAGTGGATATACATCATTGGACCCTCCATACAGGTCCGGATCTCAGAAATGCCCTTTTTGAGGTCTCATGATTCTTAGCTCCCTCCATCTTTTTCTTGGGTCCCTGGGTATTCATTTGGGGCTGGATGCGGGTTCCGATCGGAGGACTTTGCTTTGAGCCTGGCGGAGACCGGGTACCGCTTGGGCTTCTTCAAGACGGAGACGGACTTTCCAGGCAGCTCGTCATACCCAAGTTCCATGCAAGCCACACGGAACCCATTTTGTCAATTAAGCCAACGATACCCAAAGCCCACAGAACCATGGTAAATGTGATCGTCATTTAGGGGGTTGGTTGTTGCCTGACTTTCAGTATTCATGGTATCCACCGTAGGCCTGCGTGCAAAGAACAAAACAAGCTTCGTCACGTGTTGGTGCTATTTCGCGACGGCCCATGAAGGTTCCGCTTAGCTTGCCCAGATAGGAAAGGGGAAACCATCCATTGTAAAATTTGGCAAGAAACCCTATCCCTAAACAACCCTATAGAAAGCATGCCGGGGAGTGGTGCTTTAAATTTGGAGTTTTGGGTTCAAGGGAAGCCAAGCTTGGAAGTACACTGTGTCCACTGTTCGGGTTGAACACAGGGGCCGTAGAATGCGAGGTATCGGTTTTGGGTAGGCCCATATTGATGTCTGGTGGTGATCTTGTCGGGGACCCAGAGTACGCTGGAGTGCTTCGAAGCAGCTGCGGGCTAGAGTTCTAGAAGCGTTTGGGTTGGTCGATCAGTCGGTCAGCCGGTCACTGGGTCTGCAGGTCTCCCTAAACCGCCCATGACCATGTTTAAAAGTTTAGTCATGACCTCCAAGGGCGATCACCTTGTATTTCTGGATCCAAACTGGGCAACTGAAATTCTCAAGCCACGCAACACTTACTCTCCCATTCTAAACCTATACCCCATCCTCACGGGCCATAGTCCCGCCCTAAGCCCACCGCAACCGCACCAGAAACCAGACCCACCCCCACCCCGCCTCAAACTTTTACTAAACCCAAACTAATTTACCCCAATACCCGCACACACACACACACACCCTAAACCCTCCCCCCTACTTATACTCTAAGCTCACCTTCGGCAGGGAACTGGTTAACCCTTTAGGAGTTTCGACATCATTGACAGGGTTGCTACTATGGGAGCCGTTAAATTGGTTGGTTCGGTTTTGTGCTTTGAAC